ATCTGGCTCCTTAACTCAGAACGGTTTTTTTTTGACTCAGCGGTTGGCGTTTATTTGTGTGCTGGATATTCACTAATGCTACAGATTTCACCGCGTTGCAGAGCTATTGTTACATATAGTACGTACAGGCTCTGAGGAAGGGAACGTCGCCGAAACGTCAGCCATCGAACAACAGCAGAAATAACAATAAAAACATCTGTACCAACCCCGCATCAACAAGGGCAGTTTGTAGGAGCATATAAACAGGCGTGCCGATTATTTATGCTGAGTTTGAAAGTCGATCCTTTGAGCCATTTCAGTTTAAAGAAGCGTAAATTTTTAACAGTTTGTCTGTTTCATTTCTGGGAAAAATTTGGCTTAGAAAAATTGTCACTTTTATTTTTTCATCACTGGTGTGCTCTATATTCATAGACAATTGCGTAGTCCTTCGCATATTTTAATACCCCTTTATTGGCATGATTTTTATCCTTGGAGTCGTAACCATCCATCCTAGGGCATTCTTAGGTGGCCACCGCACACTGCAAATATTGGTCGATCCGATCGGAGATTGCCATCTTGTAATTGCAACGAAACACAGTAGTAAGTAACGGTCAAGGTAAACAATCGCCCTGTAATAAACACAAAATTAACTGAGTTTCCTACGGTATCGCAACGATCCCTGGTTGATGCTGTGGATGTTGAAAGTACTTCACTGTTTATAGAAAAATGTCAACGAAGTTTGTCAACTGGAGACAGTTCGATCTCATTTCAAAAAATAGTTTTAAAATCTGTTCAGCGTCATAGAGTCTCTCACTTTCCTAGACCATAAGATCTCATTACAGAATTGCAAAGACGTTGGCGTTGAGAAGAGAAAGAAGCTTTGCTGCTTGCATCTCCAACTATTCTCTGCCTGCCGATGATGTTGGTGTATCCGTAATGTCTTTTTTCATACAATTTTAGGACTAATGAGGCTTTAAAAAAATTTACAGAACGCTGCACAGAAAGATATAAGGAGAACTTTTGTTATGATAATCATACTACGTAACCTAGCTTAAACCTATGCTGTCAACATTTTTTAAGAGTATACTTTAATCTGCCAACGATAGATCCGGTAGAATAGCGCTACCTCATAAAATTTATCATTCTTTCCAAGCTCCTTTCTGTGGAACGACTTCATCGTTATTTGAACCTAATAGAAACTACATTGGCCCTGACTCTTGTCAATATCGTGCTATCCCCAGCAATCCTCCATTTTAACCCCTTTGTCGTTCAACATCATAAAAGTTTTTACTTTTCCATAACTACAGAGAACAGTATCTCTGATTTGATTCACAGATTTTATCTTCGAAGATATCACTGAAATTATCTTGAGCTCGCAAAAACCAAAAATTGGTCTAAATGATAACTGAGCTTGCTGTCCTGTCATGGTTGTGGCTTATTAAATATTCTGTTGGCATTTCATTACAGATAAGCTTATTTCAAAAGCTAGCAGCTACAAGTGCTCACTTTTCGGCGACATAAGGCTTGGAATTCTCACTGTTCACTGTCTGCCGAGTTAACTCTTTCATGTCATCGGAAATTTCTCATGAAGGCTTCAAAATCGACCTCTCTTGTAATGAGTAGTATGGACATAAACTTACATTTAGTTATTGTTCATAAGCATTCTAGAAGAGAGTATTCACTGGAAATCTAATTATTGCCTGCTTACATTTGACTTATTACATAATCCTAAATAGACGTCACCGTTCAGACTTCATGCAGTGAAACGCCACCGTCCTCTCGAGACACTTGCGACGGCCTCAACTATGTCGTCCCTAGCCGGTGCGACTCATTTTTAAAATGCTGTTTTGCCAGCTCTAGGTTCGTAGCACTGTTCAACAATTTTCAGGCCCATAATTTTGATAGAGCGAAACGAAATAAAGTCGAAACGTTAGCCGAATAAATCTCTTTATCAACCTCATGTTAGCATCACAATCCAAGAAGGTATTAGGACCATATTGGCAGGATATTAAAGGTATTCCTGTACAGAAGAGTAGGGAGCGAGCTGTATGAGAGCTTCAGTCTGTTGTGGCTTTCTCCGAAAACAAAAGGCTCACCTCTAGCAACAACCCGTCTATCTCCGTTCATTTTTTAGGTGCGAACAGCAATCAGAGTATTTAAAGATTTCGCAATTATTGCTGAATGAAAGGAAGAACATCGAGATGCTTCTGCGTGACTGTAGTCAGAAGATGGATAAAATAATGGCTGCCAATGCCACAAAGTAAGGCTCACTTTCGAAAATTCTTAGCGGATAACTCTGAGCTCCGAAAATGCCATTGTGTCTTGGCTTTTTGGTGTGTACTGTTAGGAAAAGAATATAGACCTAAACGAACTTGAAACATAGAGTTCGTTGACCTGAATAATTACTTGTGAAGTAATTCAGCCATTGTCAGTCGATGCTGCTCTGATTTAGGAACGACAGAGAAGTGATGAAGGTTTTGAACGCTACTGTGGCCATATTGAATGTGATGAGTGGTTTACAAGGATCTTCAACAGCAAGAACAGTTCTGGTAAGCATTATCGAGCGTGAAAAGCAAAAATCTATCACAAACGTTGTCCAGGATAAGACTACCTTAATCATGTACAATTTTCACTCTTAGTAGCTCACAGTTCAAAGGACTGCTATGTATTCCTAGGATGTAATCGAGATTCTAAACGTGAGTGTCTCTTTCTGATTTATTGAGGAACTTCCTTTTGGATTTTTGCCTTATAAAAAGCTCAGTAAGCGTAGTAGATTTTTTAAGCATTTTCTCACCACTCCGCTTCCACAGAATCACAGAAATTTCTAATCACAACACCGCTAGAGTAAGAACCACTAAACTGCATATCCAGTTATTCATCAAACCTTCCCAGTGAGTTTCCTTCGCTCAAGGGATATAAAAGAATGATAGTAAAGCGCTCAGAGTTGATTAATTGCTTAAGATCCCTACTGCGTTCGAGTTCACTGTGCTTCGCTAGAAGTCATTGAATGCGTATCCAACAAGTACAATGATTTTCATTAGTCTATCGATCTATCACACCAGCGTTTTTTTTAATTCTCCAAGACTAGTCTGGTACCGATTACTCGACTCCTGATGGGTAGAAGGCTTGGTAAGATTGGGGCACGGGATCGATCCTGTGTTTATTGTGGGGCATTTCCAACCATTGCCATTAGCGCGTCCTTGAGAGATATAGACGGAATTAAATTTCTTTATCAGAACCATAATTTTTTCAATGATTGTGAAATGTTTACAAAGCTCCGGACCGCAGGTGGCTGCGGTGGGGAACGAACGCGCTATTGTCCTTTCCGAGGAGTGACGCGTTCATCACCACACCATGCCGGTCCTTCTCAGGATCATTGATGTTATATTTCCCAATATACATTACCATTAAAAAAAACAGTAGGTTGTAAATAAAACAATTAAGATATTCAACGTTTTGTTTTCTGCCTTCTATATTTTTCATGGCAGGTTACTAAGCGAAATACAACCACAACGTTGCTGAGATATTTGCGCTCCCCAGATCAACCCCGCTGACGGATGCTTGCTGTGGCAAAAAGGTCGATAGAAATAGCTGAGAGACAGGCGAAACGAAGGACCCGCATGGTGTGGTGGTGAAGTGCGCTACACCCCGGTAAGGACAATAGCTCGCGCTCGTTCCCCACCATAGACACCTGCGGCCCAGAGTTTTGCAAATATCTCAGCAACGTTGTAATTAAGATTATAATTTTTTCATTTACACGTCAGGCAGCGTTGTTTTTCATCCACTTACGAATCAGGCCTTACTGATATTTTATCTCTCTCTCGGTGTAGATGAGAAGCTCATTTCCCGCAAACGACCGTGGTCGTCTGAACTGGGTTTCATCGTTCCAGGTGGATTAGGTTTAGCCTGAGAATGCCTAAGCCACCTAGAAGGCGGAATTCTCAAAACACTTCTACTCATACAAGCACTTATATATGTATATATACATATATACATATATATATATATTTAAGGAACTTGTAGTAGGAAGAACCGCAAAAATAGAGAACATCGCCTGAATCTGCCTCCGTCTTAAAGAAATAACAAAGAAGTTTTTGGCTCACGTTTAGCCTCATCGCGAGCAAAGATTCATTAAAAGAGGCTATCAGTTATAACAACCATACGCAAATGTGTTTATCGCACAACATTTGATTAAATTCACCAAAGTGCTCTTAAGAATGAATACGTTTTGAAAAGTTTGCGAGTCTCACAAGAATTATGGACAAGCGAGGAGACAGCGCCGAAGAATTAAGCACGACTGGAATTTGTTAGTTGTAATCATCGTCTTAACTGTTGTCTTTCCTTAAATCTTTACTAAAAAAGAAGCAGCGGTGTTTCATAACTGGAGAACAAAATCAACGAAGACAAACTTAAAAAGATAGTTGGTGCAGGAAGTAAAAAATTGGCGAAGTAGTTCGAATTTTTCAGCACAAATTGGCACCTAGACATGGAGTTACCAGTGTTTCGTCTTTGCACTTCACTGTCGACAGCGCCGGTTTCCCGAAGATTCTGGTGCTTCCGAAATCGTTCCTCCCACGAATGAGCTATGCAAAAAAGAAGAACATCAAAATCTATACTGATCCTTCTTCTTACCGAAAAAGAGCTCAAATAGTGAAAGAAGCTCGAAAACATCGGTTTCGAATGTACTCTTCTGCCAAGAACTCAGTGAGCATATTTTTTATGGTGAGGCAAAAGCTTCTGGAAAAATGATCAACTTTTCTAGATGAAGTCTACTGCTTACTTTGACACCAAAGTACAACCCCATTACTCTTTTCTTCAGACTATCAACAACAATTCAAAACGATGTAAGTAATGACCATTTCTCAAAACTGCTGTTACTTAGCAAGGCGAAGTCGTCATCTAATCACCGAAACTTATGTTTTAGTTGCAGCAAAAACATTTAGGGTTTGAAATTTGTGACCAAGGAAAGGTTTTGGATACAATAATGGCCATCGAAGTATCAAATTCATCCACCCGTTAGAATGGACAAAAAAGCTCAAGCTGTTGTTTCAGCGCCGAAACCTGCTTACAACGTCGATCTGATAATTGACAGATCGTTTCTGACTTATCCATTATACCATCAGTACCTACTCACCCCACTGAGTGATCCAGCCGAAAAATTTCGTGAGTCAATAATTTTAGCTGTTAGACGGTTTTTAAGTTTGTACTGTAGGAAAAAGTAGGTGATCAAAGCAGAGAGTGACATCACTTCATCGCTACTGATAGTCAGAGTTAATCTGCACTGCTGTGTACATTAGAAATCCTGTTCACTTCTACACTTTCTTCCTATGCAAACTTTCCCTACGTGCACCTTTTTTGGTAACACGCTACTACTCCCATCTACTTGTCCTTCTTGTGAAACCGCTAGGTTGAAAAGCAAATGTTAAGGTTTCAATGCACTCGAACAACACACTCTACCGACGCTTCCTACTCTTCATGCTCCTCCCGCTCCTCCTTCTCCGTCTGCTCCTCCCGCTCCACCTGCTTCTTTTTCTTTTCTTTATCCAACGAACATTGTTCCAGTACAAATGCAAAATTACTCCCCGGCCAGTAACTCCGGTCGTGAACGTTCTGCATCGTTCCCGCACCGGCCGATAACACCTCGACGCCTTGTCGTTCTGAGGCCGTTGGCTCCGCAGTCACATCGAGTAAGACACGGACCCAGCCGGCTGACAAACAAACCTCTGCGTAAGGTAATAACTTTTAAAATGATTTATAAATTTAGTGTGCACACTTTTGTCCTATATTCTGCTAAAAAAAACTTGTGCAGACGGTTCGAACCGTGCTGAAGCAGTGCCATAGTCATTTCCATTATTCGACAGAAATAATTTAGTCGAATGGTGGATCGTCGGTGAATGTGACCGGTTCACAAAAACACACCAGGCGTTGAGTGGGAGCTTAGAGAAGTTCCATGTACCTGTAGCTGAAAGCGATTCCATTTTCATTTGTAAATGAAGAAATCAGAGGAAATCTGCAGTGAAGCTGAATTATTCCAGATGAAGCTGAAGCCACGAAAAATCCTATCCAAGCCGTTCATTCGTCCTCCTGTCTCGTTAAAGAACCATTCTATTCGATTTACGAACGATGCCGACACTCTCAATGATGTTGCAGTTTTCTACAAGAACCTTCAAGCAAGTAAGAGACGGTAAGTTCGACATCAATTTCATTTCAGTAGAAGTGCCATCCAACATGGTACATTCCCATTCTATGTTCCAGTGAGACGTCTACCTTCACATGGGCTTGTTATAGCATAATAAAATATTTTATCCAGAAGGATTTATGGATCCAAATAGGTTTCTTGTTATAAAAAATTTAACTGTTTTAAGATATGACCTCTATGATACTGAGATATTTACAAAACTCCGGACCGCAGGTGTCCACGGTGGGGAACGAACGCGCTATTGTCCTTTCTGGGGAGTAACGCGTTCACCACCACACCATGCGTGTCCTTCGTTTCGCCTGTCTCTCAACTAGTTTTATAGATCACTTGCCATCAGCAATCACTCGTCAACGGGATTGATATGGGGAGCCCAAATCGGCATTGAACCCAGTTAAGCTGAGGCTATAGTTACAATCACAATCTTAACCTTTTTATTTACTGCCTATTCTTTTTAACGGCAGGGTATTTTAGTAGTTATATTTCGCAAAATACATTGCCGTTAAAAAGAATAGGCAGTAAATAAAAAGGTTAAGATTATCCTAGCCATAGTTCGACTTAATTTATCAGTTACTAATATTTCAGGTTGTTTGTGCAAGCATGTTTTGAATAATACTTTAGCTGCAATGATTCCATCTGATACGATTAGCAATAGTTCAATTTTTTCCTGGTACCTTCTTTTGTCATCGAACGGCCAAAAAAAACTTTATGCAGATGAGCAGTTGTGGTCTTTATTTTTTATTCTTTTTGCTTTTTAGATCATAGCTAGAATAACTAGTTCATAACCTGCCCAGGGAAAAATAACGAGTTTTCTTCGTTGCAAGTATCCCAGTTTTTTATCTCTTCACTCTGCTTAGATACTTTTCAAACTAGGCATCCATTTGGAAGCTGTGCGATGGGAACTAACGAATGGTATCTCACAGACGGAAGTTGAGCTAGCTTGTGTAAATCTTTAAAGGAAAGCTATGTGATGGAAATTTCCTAGTACCTCATTTGAGAATGAGCACAATGAAAATGGTTTTATTTCAGCATTAAGATCCACGAAGGGAAATCATTCAGTGAACTGTTCAGCAGTGTCGGTGCCACCACCTCTATCCTTCCTCCGGTGAAACAGAATGTTCGGGAAGAGTTGCGGTATGTACAGAACATGTCTTAGGACGGACAAACAGTCCGTCCGTGTCTCAATGTGATATTTGCGTTTTATTTACATCTTTGCCACCATCTAAATGTGAGCAATTTGGCCTGTTAAAGGCTGAGCGGCTACTTTCCCGTCCTTACCATTTGGCCCGGAGCGGCTAGTATAGAATCCGTTTTTATTATAGCTGACGTTTTGTCGGATTTCCTTCTCTTCATCACCTAAAAGCGTAGTAACTGCTACGACCGACTTTCTATTAACCTCGGCATTGATCAAGTGATTTTCTTCGTATTTTTGTTGAGCAAACGCGAGGTGTTACTATTCTTTGTTCACGATTAAGCTGACGTTTCGGCGGATTTCGCCTTCTTCAGAGCCGCTTTCTATGAGGTTTCCACTAAGTATACTATACACTATATATAATATATAATATACTTTATACTTCCACGTGATTTCTGTGCGGTTGGTCTCTACGTGACATACTTAGTGGAAACCTCATAGAAAGCGGCTCTGAAGAAGGCGAAATCCGCCGAAACGTCAGCTTAATCGTGAACAAAGAATAGTAACACCTCGCGTTTGCTCAACAAAAATACGAATAAAAGCGTAGTGTTAATGGCTACGAAAGTTGATTTAATGAACTCTTTTCATTACCTTAGAGCAAAATTGTTTAGGTATGCTCCAATCGTTTTAGACTCTGGTAGACCCTTAAGAAAGTGAAATTCACCAAAGGAGACATTTTGCCAAAGTTGTCTAGTGAAGATTACAGTAAGAAGTTTATCTGGACCAATAGTAGATTTTCCATTCACAGTTTTTTGATGTAATGGAAAACCTCGCATGCATAAGGGGCTCGTTGAAATTTTGTGCAATACGATCTTCCGACTTTGAACAAGTTCGCGTGGAGAACGTCGAATTAGATGTTGAGTAATCATATTTAGTTCAATGGGGCCGATCTTTCAGACTTTTTTGTTTTTGGTATTTAATCGCTACGCGGAAGCGGAATTTATCCCTTCACGTAATTTGCTACTCTTCTGCGTTGTTTACTTTCCTCATACATGATGTGTAAACGATCAAAGAAGCCCACTTTTTGGACAATGGATATTTCTTTACACTTGAAACTCCCAACAAAATTTACCCATTCAGAAATTCCAGATCGTTTCTTCAATCGACATCTGACGAAATCTATGAGGACGTCCTTCAAAACCAACAAGAAGCACTTTTTGGCAATAATAACGCCGTCGCACCTGAAGCCGATTTTGACGACTTGTCTATTTTCGAGCGAAATCAGCACAATACAGACAAAATCCCAAAACCTTCCGTTTTTGATCCAGCCCATCCTCATCCCGTCAGCCGAATTGACTCCACCGCTACAAGGTCATCACTTCCACCAAGTATGAAATTTGTGCTCTTCCATTTTCTTCTTTAATCATGCTAACTAGTATTTGAGCCCCTAAAGCGGTCCAAAACAAAGAATTCGCCTCTTCTCTCACATCAACTGCAGTAAATACGCAGCAAATATATTGAAGTAAATATACTGTTGCGGCTCGGTGCCGCAACAGTCCATCACGAATATTCTGCAATACTCCTCCTTTTTTTCTGCGCCAACAGATGTTGACCACTAAATTTGAAAACAAGTGAAATACTACGCTTGTAACCACGCTTGCATGATGAACTACGCGTAGAATTCTGTGGAAAATTCTTTTATGGCTTCGAAGTTGAGAAAACTTAGTCGAAGCCTCCAACAAAGTAACACGCAGTCTGTTTCTTCCACCATAGCTCAGTATTTCTTCGGCCTGTAGGAGGATTTCTGAGGAAGATAGAAAAAAAGAAGCATCCTTTCTCAGAAATTTGTCAGCAATCGTTGCAGCATTGGTCTTGTTCGAACGGAACAACAGACACGTTGGAAGGAAACTGGTGAGTGGAAGTGCTGGGACCACGTCGTCACCACGGCTGCCAATCGCTCTACACAGGTAATGTGTGCACGGCTTGTACTGCTATAATTAACCATTCAGTATCGACCATTGTATTGTATTCACATAATATATAAATAGTTACGCAAAACTTATTGCGGCTTCACCTAATTATTGGAAAATGATGCATTATGAATGCTAATTATTGCCTGTTTAATTAATTAAGCACATCTGATTTTCCATCATATTTTATTAAAGGATAAAGCGCTCGTCGTTAAGACTCGCCTAACGTTCCTTAGGAACGCACCATCTATTCGACTCCTTTCGCATCACCGTAAAATGAATGCATATTTGGACTGCCTAGTAACTTTCGGTGATCTACCTTTTATCGAATTGGTATTTTTATACCGTCAGATAAATTTGGTGCTAATTCTCCTACTGTGGTACAACCATATACTATACCTGTATTGTTACACGTTATCTTTAACCACTACGGTTCTCGTCTTCTTCAGTCACTCGTTTTTGGCATTCCTCACAAAAACACTGCTACTTCTAGGAAGAGAGGATAGAGCGGAAAATTCACTGATATTCCTTGACATCCATATTTGGATGGAAAATGTGATAAAGAAGTCGAAATATTAATATATATTCTTTTTCCACCTTCTCGTTTGCTTTCGGATAACCGCCTTTTAATGTTGAAGCTTGTGACGAACACAGATAGTGCTTCATATAGCCTTCCATTAGTGTTCTAGAAGTTGTTTAGTCAACTTTTCAAAGTTTCGGCACCAAGTATCATGTAAAGACTTCAGAATTTCTGGTTTTACCCTCGTAATGATCACTCACTAGCAATGCAGCCCCTTGATGATGGTGGTCACCACCATCCTGTTAGTCGTTGTTTCTCCTAAACTCTTATAGACTGCGCGGTGTTACCATTGCTATCAATGCACTGAATGCGATGATTGCATTAACAGAACACATTTTTGGAATTCGACAAAGAGCAAGAAGTTGCGTAGGAGTAATTGTGTTGTCTTGAGAGAGGAATCCATTACAGCTCACGCGACATTGACCCTATTTATCATTACTTGAAGTAGTATGCTATTGAGATAAAACCCGATTAAGGTGGGTAAAAAAAGAACAAAGCTCTCGGCTTTGATCAATGTCTGAAGGACGCGCCATGCATTAGACATCATTCAGCACCGTTTGGAGGTAACTGAATGCATGTCCGGCCTTTACAATGACTCGTGGTGACCTACTGTTGTATCAAGCCAGTGCTGCTATCCTCCTAGGCAAGTCTGGTACCAATTTGCGCATTTTGGAAGGATAGAAGGTTTGCTGGGCCATGGGCGCGGAAATCGATTCCACGTGTGTGTCATAGGGCACTTCTAACCACTGCGCCACACGCACCCCTTTAAGGAGGCGGGGCACTAAAAGACATCACTTTATCAGAATTTATTGCATTTTGTGCTATAAATCTCGTTATACAATTTAAGCACTACGGGCTCTTAATTGCTTTTATAAGTATACGATACGTAAGGTAATTATTACAGATAGGGTAGAGCAAGCAAACCTTCGCGTATAATTTTATAGTAGTTCTCTTTCGCACTGAAATTATTCAGAGAGGAAGTGTCGTTGTCGTTACCTTCGGGCGACCCACTCGACGCTCCTATTCTGCTGAGACCGCTGACAAATGATGTTGTTGAACTAGGCAGGCTACACAGAGAGCAAGTACGACAGAAAGTCGTTGATGGCACGAGTGAATCCTTTGCAGAGCACGAGAATGTTTGTTTGAAAATACTGGAAATCACTGATTCTTTTCTTCACAGTTTATTTAGGTAGAAAGAAAACACGGACGAGCAAGGACAAAGCTTCAAACATCCTCGGAAAGTACGTATTCGAAAACGGTATGTCTTTCAACTCCGAGTGTCGCTTTCGAACTTCTTGAGAAGGCAATGCTGACATTATGGAGCGAGTGATGCAGTGGCAATGATACAGATCGTCATGAGCACATTGCTGGTTTAAACCTGCACCAGGGTCTCCCTCTTGGGTTAGAAAATTGGCATCATATCCATTTGGGAAAAATTCACTCTCTGCTATTCAATTGGGAGCGCTCTACCGCGGCTATCTCAGGGCACAAAGGAGAATTTATTCGACTAGCACTTTACGACATTTACAAATAAGAGGAAATCCTAGAGCAGAAGCCGAAAAAGCACGCAAACTGTTCGAAGGCCTTGATAAACACTAATAGAGCGCAAACCAATCCATTGAAACGAGTTCTAGGATCCGCTTAGTAGAAGTGATGACGGGACGGTAAAAAAAATGCTGATATCACTGAGAGTTCACAGTTTTTTCAAGGCAATGGTATTTTAGAAAGCCAGTGTTATGAACGATTTTAAGTGCACCACTTTACTGATGATTTTCTCGCGAAGTTTCCTCTTTGGCTTTCCAAAAACGTCATAAGAGAAGCGAATAACATTTATGTCTCCAGGCAACAATATTTAGAAGATTGACCTAGTTCTGGACAAGACGCCTACTTGAGGTGTCCTTGTTGACTAAAAATTGGGGCATCTGAATAACAAGCTCTAGCTTTTTAGTAGTTTCCAGATTTTTGCACTCTAAGAGAATTAGGAAAGGTCTAGACCACAAGTGCTTCATCTTCTTCATCTTGTGCCAACACACATGAGCAGATGATTTTTGCTGTATAAAACTTACATAGGACTAAGCATGCTCACTTGACAGAAGAATATAAGTCTGAGTCTGCGATGTCATTTCCTTTTTAGATGGCAAGTGACCTCGTTTCTGGTTGCTGCTGGGCTTTAGTAAACTTTAAGGATGCTGCATGTTTCTATTAAATAAGTTTCCGACTTTCCCATCCTGCGATTAATACTGTTTGCGAGCGTGCACTGCTTCCCATGTGTTCTCAATCGCAATCGCTCTAAGCAACTATAGAGACTATATCAGAATACATTCTGTTCTGTCGACCGACATGGTCTATTACCGTATGCTGAATAGTGGGTAGGCCGGTCCACGTGTTGTTTCGAAACAACTGATATCTTAGATTTTTCTGAGTTTCCGCATTCACTTCCATTATTTTTACAATGAGATTGTTCTGATATATTCTGTAACTACTTCTAGGAAATTGTCAAAGAAGAGCCAATCGATGCTTCCATCTCAAGAACTACTCATTTCGCTGACAGCTTTCCTATACTAACAGTTGACGAATGGTCGACCACGACATATCCATCGAGTTCTACACCGATCACTTCAGAGTTAAAGACGACAAATATGCAAGTTGACGAGACGGCCACTATTATTCCGACCCTGGAAAATACACCATGGACAGCACCTCCTTCTGAAAACAGCTTCCGTCCCAATATGATTCCATTAGCGCAAAACTTCACCATCGATGGTCCCCTGATCGTGATCAACAAAGTAGATGGCAGTACATCTTCCAGTCGAACTAACGAAGGCAACGTAAGTCATTATTATAATTAGGCTGCTATGGTTATTTGTCAAGCTGAATATTCAGTTCTTCTGGAAGTAGACTGAGAGCTCAGATGAATTGTGAAATACTTAAGGAATAACCCCGTTACACTTTGATCTAGTTATTATGTTTTTATAACCATTTCCAGAGCAAACTACATTTCGCTTTTATAAATTGAAGAATCAGGCTTTTAACTTTTGAGAACTTCAGGAATATCAATAAACAGTGTGGTTACCTTTATGAACTACTTAACCGTACTGTTTACGTGAACTATGTTTAGTTCGCCTTGGATTTAGCCTTTTAAAACCCCTTCTAATTTCAATAACATCATACAACACAGAGATATAATGACACTTTCCTCATTGTAACCTTGAAGAATCAACTTCAGTCCTCCTCTCGGTTGCCACGCAGAACTGCTTCGGAAGTTGTGGATCGCCTTTGGCTACAGGGTCGGAGAAAACACAGCCGAGCTATGGCTTCTAAGACTTACAGAAGGTTCGTCCTCTTTGTATTTATTCGTGTAATACTGTTAATCTCTTTTTTGATGACCACTCGCTGTTTACAGGAAACCAGTCTCATCAAAACTTATGCCAATCGACGAGCCGTCTATGCCTGAAAGGAAACCATTCGAAGCGTTCTCTGTACTCAAATTGCCCGAAACGGTACATTATCCATTATTTTGCTCCAATAGGAAAAATAGTGTTCTTTTTTCCAGTTTCCGTGTGCCATTCTTTCTGTTCGCTTTTTCACCTTTTTGGATTTGCTTTTGGACCTTAGAGGCTGATGGAGGATTCGTTGTAAATGTTTGACCTTCCAATTTTTCTAGCGTCGCCTTCAAATTTTAGGACCTTTGTAGGCTCTAAAGGTACCGAGCAAAACAATAAAAATAAGACGCAGCTTTCCGAACTAATTTTACTTTGATTTTAACGTTCTTCATATATAGGTTAAGTACTATTATCACTAAGTTTTCATTCTGATCATAAAAATAACTTATGCGTGCTTATTTACCATAGGAAAAATAAGCAGAGGAATAATTAAATAATTGGAAGAACTATCTCTAGGAATCTTGTTGCCTTGAACCAATTCTCCATTCACTTCCTCTCGCTGTCGTAACGTCCATGGTGATGGTGGTCTCACCCAAGAGTGGCGACTGTCACATTTCATGAATCATTTGCTACCGTAAAAACAGCTGAACGGTGGAGATATAAACAAGTCGCACAATTTCCTAGCGGTCGCAACAGTAAATGACAGCATTCCCTTAATTTTCACTTCACCATTTTCTTATAGATTCGTTGTCAAATCTTCTTATTGGAATGTAAGAGGCCTTGCCGAACGACGTCCGCTCTGCTTTTGCGTGTTTCGGTTACATTTCAGATTGCAACCTTAACGTATTCTGTAAGTGACCCGTCAAACATTCAACATAGTTGCGTTGTCAGCTCTTTCACTCCATGTTGAGCAGGTGCTGGCAGAGATCTGGATTGTCTTCTTAGTGGCCTCGCCTAGTCAGAAGTGTCCCGTTTTCAAAGACTCATTTATTGTTTGAATGTACTTGTACAAATGAATTCCTGTGGGCATCCTGTTTAATCAATTTGCAAACTTTCATCTGACCTTTAGATGGAGTGGCAACGTTTGTGAGAATTTTGTAGAGTGCAGTTAAGGAGATTTTCACGACCGCCTCAAAAGGGCGTGGAGTGAATTCATTGATTTCATTTTGAATAGAGTTTGTCTTTTACTATCATTTTTATGACATGACAGTTCATAATGGGAAGTTCACCTTCGCTCATCTTCGCTTGTTGCCGCTATAATCCCTCATTTGACGGGCGCGGATATATTTGATTTCACACAGGTTTCGCAGTCTTCGGACAGGTTGTAATTGAATCATTTTCAGAATACCCAAGATCTCCTTTTCGTAGATGATAGATCTACAGAATAGAATGTGGTAGAGGAAAACTCAGAACAGCTTTTCCATCTTCATTTCGATCTTCACTGAAACCTTCGGCTTGGTGAAGAGCTAGCAAAACTTCGTCTTTGCTTTAATCTTGCGTAAACGAGCATAATGAGCGACATTATGGCTGTATAACGTGAGTGTGCCACCCAAATTTTCCGAAACTATATTGCCTACGGCTTCTAAGGGAACATAAACGTTGTGGAAACCTTTTCGCTGGAAGTGCAGAGGAAAAACACTACCAATCTCTGTCTTATCACCAGATTCCTTGTTCCTGCGTGCTGAGACTGATCTTTGTTAGCGCTTCGAGATAGCGTGCCATGGCTGTTCCCATGTAGTTAGCGGAGAGCATCGCCTGTCATTGTAGACGAGCTTTCCACGTTTACAGACGTTGAAAAGACCTTTTCACTATAAAAAGTCAGCAAACCGGTTAGAGAAGAAAAGAAAAGAAGACTGTAAAATTATATAATAACGACTGAGGGATACAAAAAGCAAGCCAAAGTGCGAAAATTTCTTGAGTTTCAAAATCTGCACTACTTTGAATGAGGACAGAATTCAGCGGCGCTTATCTGTTGTGCTCATACCTTTTTTGATTGGTTTTAGATCAACTTTTCGCAGTTAAACAGTGGCCTGAACAAGAAGTCGTTATATATATGTCCAACATGCGCTTTGTGCCGCTTTCTGTGACAACGCAAAAGAATGGATCAATATTCTTGATTGATTTCCTGTAACTAGCAGACTAAGTTACTGAAAGTGTTGGAGATAATCAGAATATGATTACCACCAAGTGCATTTCAGACACTGCGGCTATCACACTGCGAGATTTATTCTCTTTGCTTGGACGAGTTGTCACATGAGGCCGCGAAGTGTCAGGTGAAAGGTGGCTACCTGATGCCAGGTCTTCCAAAGCGCAGACGGGGTTTCTGTAACAGAAGACTTGTAACCGCTTCTCAGGTGATCCCTAGAAGTTTTCAAGCCTTTCACCTTTTCAGTACACAATATCTGTGAAATACTTGACATAGTAATTCAAAAAATGGGATTTATTTTCTTTTGGGCATGGCTAGGGAATATCCAATATAAAATCCAACCTAAAAATTGAAAATAGTTTCACATTATGAGGGCATTCTCCATTTGAGGCCTTCGCTGCATTACTATTTCTTTAACATCTTTATCAGTACTCATTAGAAAGGATTTTTAAGTGGACGACAAGTCCAAAATTTGACCCAAACAAAAAGTTTCCCTAGAATGATGTTAGCCCATTCCTCCTAAAATGAAATTCTGTCCATTTTTAAGCGTTCATATCAGTCAACTCGATTTGAAAGCACATGGAATACCATGCTGTTCTTGTATTTTCCTTTTAAACTTTTGTTAACGTGATTATTAGCAATTGATGCTGCCACTAAGTTTCTTTATCGCTACAAAGTATTACAAAACGTAACCTGCGTTGTATGTCCCCGACAGCCTCAACGAGCTCCACGGGAGCAACCAAGCCATGACGATGGCTTATTCCTGTTTACATTGACAAAGTCATCAAATAAACCGTGAAATTTTTTGTATAATAGGGCTAATTGTTCTTCAAAACGTATTAAATAGGTGTATGCATGCTACTATATGACTAACCACTTTGCTTTGATATTGCGAAAGCGTTGTTTCTCTCGAATGGACGGCTTCTACTTCACAGCGGCATTGCAGATGATGCGTATCGATCCTTTTAGGGTGGAAGTCCTTCGTTAGCATGTTTGCATTATTTGCTATATGAATTAATTAAGCACTAATAAGGCATTGAATCTGGCAGGTTCTGCACAACACTAATAAATATTAGCCCTTCACAGGCTGTTGATGACGAAATGAGGAACCTCGAAAGGACGTACAGCAGTTGTATCAAAAGCCGACTTGGACACACAATTACTGAGGTATCTTGTCCACCTGCCAAAGATTTTATTGAAACTGTTACATTTGTGTACCAGAGACCTGCAAAGAATTCTTATCAATACATAGCTGTTCTATGTCTTCATTAAATATTCAAGAAAGAATATTTTCCCAGGAATCCCAGGAAATCATTTCGTCAATGCTCGATCAAGCACTTCAATTTTACGGAATTCTTGTATTCTTTAATGGCCTTCCAACATCTCAATATCTAAATTTCTTTGTTTCTAGGATTTTCTAGAATTTCGAATAACCAAATGATTCAATATTGTCATCCAATCTTTTAAAATCCTTGTATAATTCGAAGACGGCGACCACCGCCCATAAATGCTTACTCCTCTTCATGGGTTGAGCAGAAGGGAGTCGCTCCTGAGTCTCGAAGTGACATACGGAAGAGGTGCGTCCACTCAGCAGGGTCATCTAAGCCGAAAAGCAGTTAGACGTTTACAACCGGAAGAATACCTAGCAATAAATTAACGACGACAGGTAGTTAGATTAATGGTAGTGATGCCGTTCACTATTAACAAAACTATGGCTGCTCAACCACACCCTGGGCCTTCATTCATCTGAGTTGGGGTGCTGGTCTCCGAATTGCCCGGGCTTACGTAATTCCTTCCAATCTACGTGGAAAAGTTCTTGCATCGCTTTTCTGAGATTCTTGGGAGAATCCACTCGATGGGCATTCAACGACATTCATGTGTAAGGTCAAAATTTCTCAAATAGCGCTGAAGCCACACACAAAATACGAAGACCTTCGTAGAACGTGGATGCGAGGAAACGAATCTAGTACAACAAGTCCTAAAATCCCTGCAACAGATGGAGTCGCGTGGCGCAAAAAGTATAGTAAAACGCAAAGCAGTAATCGCTACCGCTCTTGGATACCCCAAGTCGCAGCTTAGCAAACCCCTCTGAAATTGAGCCAGTGGCTGCTGCTTGTAGTGATGAACTGGGAAAACACTGGCACGGTTTTTTCCAGGATAGAAGGTGTGGAATATAACCATATATTGTCTATTTCAAGACATTTGACTGCGCAATGTATTCGGATCTTTTATTACTCGAATTTCGAAGTTTTGTTAATTTGAAAGCTGTGAATTTTTCTATGAGCTCTAACGAAGTGGCTAGTGATACAATCCATCATGAATGAAGGCGTTGGATCAACTCCCTCCAACGCTCTCCTCTAATCCACATGGGAATGCCATATCTCGGCTATCCAAGGCTGCAACAAGAATCGATCTGACTAGCATTCTAGAACACTCATAAAGAAAACGAAATCAACGAGATTTTCGAAGACCTTTGTAAACGATGAATGCGAGGAAAACGAATGTGAAAAGTACTGGGATCCCCACAGCTTATGTGATCACGAATCACGTAAAATTTAAAAAGAAATAAATATGATGATGCTAAGATATGCGCAGAACTTGGAATTGTCGGTGGGCTTCATATTCGCGGTGACCCATTCAGTGGGCTTACTTGGTATCCACCACATCAACAGAGATATTGCATTGCCTTTCTCCCAGTCTCAGTTGGTACCACAGCAAGATACAATTCCTCATGCACCAGTCTTTTTTCAAATCTAAAAATGCGTAGTAAATAGAAGTTAAACCTTTGATTTCGAGTTCACCTTAAGCTTAACTAGGTTCAATGTCAATTTCTGCTCTCTAGGTCACTCTCCTTGACGGTTGGTTGCTGACTGCACCATCAGACTTAAATATGGCTAAGAGAAAGGCAAATCAAGGTCCTCGGCTAGTGTGGTGGATAACACCCTCGAAGGGCCCACGGAGAACGTAATCGCAGATTCGAACGAACTTCGAACTTTCGCATATACCAGCATCGCTGTGGTTATATACAACGCAACACCCTGTCATAAAGAAAAAAATAGTAAATAGATATTAAACAAATTTGAGGCTGTAATA